CAGGGGCAGACATTTGGGATGATAACGCCAATGTAGTTATGCTAAGCCAGGTTGGACAAGAGGCCTTGTAGCAGCTGAGGTAACCTAGAGTTCAGGCCAGTTTTTACCCCCAGAGCAGGAAGCCTGCTGGGTTTCCTTGCATACTTTGCTGCTGGTGTTTTTTCTTCCCTCATGTTGTGTTGACATCCAGGACATATGAAGAACTCTGTAATCATTGGAGGCAACAAAACCCCCACTGCAAAGACAATGTAGTCTTTAAAATTAGTTCTTTTTCTCCCCTCCACCAACAATATAAAGCAGAGGAGGTTGTTCTGAACTGCAATTCCTAGTCCTGATTCTTAAGCTCTGGTAAAAGGCTTCAGTCATTAATATTGGGTATTTTTGTATGCATAGCCAATTACTGCGGAAATGTGGACATCCTGCAAAAGTTTAAGAGTTCAGGTAATTTCCATAATACCTTCTTGGACAGATCTGGATTTCAAATTTAAGTAGATACATTCTTTTAATGTCTAAATACAGCATTTGATAATGAGTGCACTTTAATCCTTTTTCCCCCCCTGAAATTTAGTGATTATTAACTGTTTTTAACTCCTTTACTTAAAACTAATGTAGGCTGTTGTTTTTGTGAACAGAAATTTAATAGTCAGTATCACTGATGGAGCATTTTCAGAACATGAAATTATGACTCTCGGGCGCTATTACAGTGTGAGAGATGAATATGAAATGGACCTTCACGTCCTCCTTGAAGTGACTCAAGAACAACTAAAGAAAAATAACTTCGAGAATTTTGAACAACTGTCTGCGGTGCTTATATACAATGACCGTGAGAAGTAAGTTTACTCTATTTATCCGAAGCTGTTATTTGGGAAGCTCTTCTTGTAAACCTACCTACTTTCTGTTTGCTGCTGAGCAAATGATATATTGCAGCCAAAGGATATTATTTGTAATGTTAAACCTCTCTCAGCGCTTGACAGTAGGCAAGAAAAGGATAGCCTTTTTGTCTCTTTTTCATTTTGTTTGTGGATTTTTTATTATAGCTGCTGTACTGAACATTGTGACATAATCAAATGTCTGTTCACAGGCAAAACACAGTATTTTAAATCAAAGAGGAGAAATAGTGATTTAAGGGGAAAAAGAAAGGATTTGTAGCTGGTTCTTTATATGACTCATTTGCCCTTTTTGTTCTCTGATGTCACAGATAAAGAATCACAGAGAATCACTAAGTACCTCAGCGTGGGGGAGACAGGCCACCATGTGCCCTTCAAGTTTCTCAGCTTTATAATAGTGAAACTTCATAAAACCTTGTTTTCTTTACTTCTAGCCTGACATTCCTCATGTGTTTTCCTATTCACAGCAACATTCACTTGAAGTAAATCTGGAAAATACCTAATGTACACTTCTTCTCCTCTCTTCCTGTTTGTGTAGGTGTGGAGTGCTGCCTCATGAGATGTGCAGGACTATTTGCAAGTCCTTTAAGTTGCCACTGGCTGATGATGATCTGCAAGCTTTACTGACCATGTAAGTTAAAGGCAGATCGTATGACCTGCGCATATGGGTGCAAATCAATGCTAAATATCTACTGCAGATACAGTTCTTAAGAATTTGTCATTTGTATAATATTAATCATTTCACGATGCTGACTTTGTCCCTATACACATGTGGACTTTCCTATTTATAGAATATTTATAATCAACTGATGTGCATCCATGTTAGCAACTTTTCTTCATTTTATCTGGCACGGTAGATCATGCAGTTTTTTGCCAGAGTTCTGTGGAATTAGTCTGATGGGAATCAGCTACTAATACTTATTAATGAGGTTCACCTTTTTGCATTAGTTTTTCCTGTGTATATGCAAGGTAAAACCAATGATTTTATGAAAGCACATTATGTGAGTGTTAAGCAACATTCCAGGATGAATACAATGAAATGTCCTTGAATCAAGTAGGCAGCATCAGTAGTAAATAAAAGTGGTTTGCTTCTCCTATTAATCTCACTTGAAACATAATTTATTGTAAATTTTAAAAAAGAAAATGAGTATTAGCATGGTTTTGGTATTTTTCCAGAGCACATTTAATTATTTTGAGACAAATTGCTTGGCTAGCTCTATTAATGGAGTAGAAGTGAAAAGAACTAGTATTCAGTGCTCTTGTATTAAAGGCTAGAGTTCAGAGTAACCTATGGTGTTCTGAACACTCATGCCATGTTGAGTTTGGTTTTCATGGCCGGATTTTCTGGTAATAGGTTTAAATGCATGCTCATTGGTCTCTTCTTTGCCTTGTGGGAAATCATTAAATGTTTTGACTGTGCCTTCATACTGCATTAAAAGCAGGAGCAGGTCTTGTCTTCTGTCATGTTTAGATGCTTTCAGGTAGATATGCTTCTTGATTTCAGGATGAATTGCAAACTAAGCATCTGGATTTAACAAATAATGAAAAGACTCTTGTCAGGCGGAAATGTGGAATCCATTTTAATAAAGCATCTTCATACTGCAGTCAAGATTTCCAACTTAAATCAGTATCAACAAGACTGCTTTAAGAAGCCTAAGGGGCTATTTTTCACAAAGACCCCATTTCCAGACCAAAAAATTTCAGAATAGTTTCCTGCAGTAGCCAGATAGACGACTTTGGCAATTTGTTTGCCATTCATCACTTCTGACACTTAGGTTACAAGCATTAGTCATCAGAAGCATGTCTGAATTTTAGCATTAATCTGAAACTCATTTTTTAGAACTCCCACTAAACTGCCCAACATAAAAAGTGTTGGAGGACAATTGACATCCTGTACTAGGGCAAGGGGTTCTCATAGTTTCCATTGCATAAAGGCTGAAATTAAATAGATGCACAGACAAGGGTCTGGAGGTTTCCTTTATGTACTAACTCAAGGCTGATGAAAAACAGACAAGCCTGACACAACATAGACTCTAGAGATGTGTTTATTGTTTGTGAATTTGTACCAGGGAAAGCTTTTGTGAGATGAACCTCTTCTCTCCTGAAGAGTCTTGGTGTAGGCAGTTAAAAAGAAAAAACCCGGTAGACTGTAATAAAGATTAGAGATAAGCTTAGAAGACAAGGAGAAGGCTGAGGACTGGATTTCACCCAGCTTTAGTCAGGTAACCGTGAGAGTTGAATTAGGATTCAGCCGCTGTAGGTTCTTTTTGTAGGCAGTGGATGAGGAGAGTGTTATCTCCTCAGCCTGTGAAAGAGCTGGATTTCTAAATTACCATCCATTTTTCTTTGTTTCTAAAGGGGCTGTGACCAGCCTGTATTGCAGATTTCTGTCTGAGAAAGGTAGATGGTGTGAAGCTAGGCCTCAGAAATCAGTGTGAGAAGTACTTCATATGTTAGAGTGCCATGTGTAATGCCAGTTCTAAGTTACAATGTCAACTGCTTTGAAAGATGGCAGTTCATGTGGTGAGTCACTGCGCTGCAGGTAAGAAGGAAGATTGACACATTCTTAATAATGTGTGCAGTTGGCACTGCTTGGTAAGTTTATTGTTTCATGAGGATGCAGACTCAGGGGAAGGATTTTTTTTGAAGGCTGTTTAATAGGAGTTAATTTCCAGTGATCTGGCAATCAAAGAGTAGAGGCAGCTGAATGAGATTTAGACTTTACCCTTCCTTTCCTCTTGCTAGTTTTATTCAAGACTAAAGAATCACGAAACAGGAAGTTTTATTGTTAATGAAGAACAGTCTCACTCCTGGGGAGTATATATAGTTCAGTGTGGGCAAAGTTTGTCAGCAATATTATTTCCCTAGTTTTTTTTTTTTTTGGATGAGGAGGCATGTCATTTTGGGTCTGATGTTTCTGAAACAAGTGGTGGTGGTCATCCTACTGTGTGCATCTGTCTTTATGAAGGAAGAAAGTACTACAATAAAAACTGTTGGATTGATTCCCACAAAATCAGTATATATAGCTAATGTACTAGCCAGACCCTATTCAGCTATAAAATGATGCTAGACAATGTGATCAGATAATAGTTGAAGACTGAAGCTTTATGTTTATTCAGCTTTGCTATCTGAGATTAGGTGGCAAAGAATTTCTGTAGGACTTAATTGTTCTGGTTTTCCATTTTGAAAGGTAATACTCTTAAAATATTTATTATTTACGTTTGTAAATTATACTGCAATGATCTGTCACTTATTAAAAGCATGGGATGGGACTAGAAGTTACTGTCTAATTTTGTGGTAACCTCCAGATGACCCAAGACTTGTTTACTGTACCCAAAGACCATTCAATTTCCCGAGTGTAGGGAGAATTAGCACAAAGGCTGAGGTTTCGTAAGACCCTTTCTTATTGTCTGTCTAGAGTAAACTTGTATTTTTAATTGTGGGATGGTGAAATAGTAGGATTTAGGTACCCAACAATGTGCCCATTTTTCCAATTTGCCTGAGCTGGCTTATTAAAAAGTATTTTCTTTCTCCATCAGCATCTCCAACTAGCTTCTCAGTTAGTTTTTTAATCACAGGGCAATACAGACTTTTAATCACAACGTATTAAGCAATGCAGATGGTACACAATTGTTTCTGCCAGAAAACTACAGTAGTCATTATAAACATTTCTTTAAAGTTATGCAGGCATAATGAACAGTTATAGTTTGTTTAATAAATAAATGTTACTAAAGTGCTTAAGTAATGAATTTAGGGTTTTTTTCCTGTTATTTTTATTTACTGCAACATTAAATGTATGCTAACAAGGACTTAAAAAGATGCAGTCCTTCCTCAGAGGATATAGAAACAGCTGGCAGATAAGGAAAGAAAAAATGAAGGGAAGAAAGAATGGGTGACAAGTTTACAAGTATTACATGTTGATTGTTCCACATTAATTCAGTTGTTAAGTGTATGTCCTGATTTCTTAAAATATGTCTTTTAATTTCTGTTAAAAGTGGCTGTGTAGTTCTTCAGCTCTCCACAATACCAGGGTCAGATTGTTGGACTCTGGGGCAGGGCTTATTGTTTTGAAAAAGCGAATCTCTGGTGTCTCAGGTAGCAGTGCCAGATAACAATGGGCCCCCTACACGGTCATCCCAGTTCTCAAGTCATTAACAGGCCAGGCCACTCCTGCCTGCTCAGCTTCTCCCTGGCTTGTGGCTGGGTAATAATATTTTACCTAGTTGCCTAGCTGTAATGTTTTTTAAGGGATGACCTATTTCTTTCAGGAAGCAAACCCTCTTTTCCTGCTACAGCAAGAGTCCTGGTAGCAGGAGCAAGATTGGAAATGGTCACAGGATCTTTCTCCTGCACTCTGTCTTCTGCTTGTTACCTTTGATGCCTGAGACTCCCTATGGCATTTGTGGGGAAAAGACTCTCTAGCATTAATATTTGGATCTCTTAAAAGAAATTATTTCTGTTATTCGGTATGCTGAGGAACTGATGGTTCAATTTATAGTTGTTCAAGATGTGAACAAATGTATGCAAAAGGTGGTAGCCATTACTTAATTCGTACTGATCAGCTGCATAGACTTGTTTGTGCTTGCTGTTTTAAATCTTTTCATATGAGCAGTTTATGGCAATTTAGGTGTATAGCTGTGTTACACAGAGACTATCAGGCTGAAGAATCCCAACCTTTTCTGTAAGGTTAAAGCAGCATGATGCTTCTCCTCTATTATTATCAGATTAACTTCTTAATAAAAGTTATTCAAAACTAAAGAACTAAAAAAACTCTGCATGTACATTAACTTTTCACATGAATGTTTGGGTTACAGATTTCTTGATGGGAAAGAAAAAATATTTGTAAGAAAATAGCCTTTACTCTCCAAAGCATCCTCAGAAATGGTCATAATGTAATTTAACCAGACTTTTCACATATCTGGAGTATTTAATTATGAATATATATTTTAGAAGCAGAAAAGTGTGGTGGTTTCTATAATGTCAAAGAACAAAAAAAGCTCTGCAAACTATGATTGGGATGGGGGGAATGACTTTCATAGTCTAATATCACATGCATTGGTTAAGTCATAGGGCAAAACTGAAGAGAAGTATGGTTTCAAGAGATCTTTGTTGCATCTTCTTGATAAGACAAATCTAATTTCCTTCCCTGAGAAGCACTGTCAGTTTCAGTCATTAACTGCAGCCACTGAAATGTATGACATCTCTGTCCTAATAATGCACAAATTGATAACATCTCTTCAGTCCATCTGGATACTCTGTGCCAAATTGCGAGTGTGTGCTTTTAGTAGATTGATACAATAAGTCGCAGCAGGAAAGAGATCTAAACTGTAGATTTTTTTTTTTCTTTCTGAATTATTGTAGACTAATATTTTAAGCTGCTTTCTGTAGCATATATGGGATTTAGGAATCCCGTTTCCTCTGCCCATGTTAAAATCTTTGATTATAGTTAACTTCATGCCCATGTTGTCATTTCAGTCTGTTAGTGCTGTCACATCACAGGACTTTTGTCCTGGTTAATGTTTGTCGAAAGAAAAAGCAATGCTTTCCTTGACTTAATTACCTCAACATAGTTTAAGTAGTTACACACCTTCACTTGTTCTTTATTTAAAAATCCTGCTTATACACCTCTGCATCTTGGCAGTAGACTTAATCTTTTAACTTTTCTCAATGAACAAAAGATAAATACATGTATAGTAAAAGAAAAAAATAATTGTCATGATAATTCTGAAATTCATAATGTGTGTGCCATAGGTTTTTTTCCAAGAGAAATAAGCTTTTATATTGTCTTGTTACTTCTAATGCGAAACTCTTTTTTTCTTTTCCCAATTGCCACCTGCAAAAAACCTGAAACAATCAAGAACCCCGTAGAAGTGGGAATGATAATTTTCTTGTATATTGGATATATTCCCCAAAAGTAAGGCTTTACGAAAACGTTAACTTGTGTGTGAGCTATAATAAAGAAGCAAGCTGTCATAGGCAGGTATCTCGTGGCAGTCTTTCAGGCTTCTCTTTAATACTAGTAACAGTAGCATTCTTTTCTGACTTTGATTTCATCTTCAGTATAACTCATTGTACTTAACATTCCAGTTTATCGCTAACATCTCTGTTTATGGCTTTCAGTATATTTTATTATTATCTCTCCTGCTGACTATTAAATGAAAAGTGTGGGGGGAGGAGGAGAGGATGAGTTGCAGTTTATTTCAGTTTATTTGTGCCACTAGACTTATTTCTCCTCTTCTCCGGTATTGTTTTCCAAGTTTGTGCTATAAATTCTCCCTTTAAGTACCTTCATGCTTAATTTTACCAGAACCCTCTGCAGTGATTGAAGGGTTTTGAGGCCCATGTTTTGTGCAGTGCTAGTTCTTTAAGAACAAGATAAAATGATTTTCTAAAAGACTTGTTTCCTGGAGATGATCTTGCTCCTGTGCAGTAGTATTTGTCTCACCAGTTTACAGGGCAGAATTGTTTAACCTGATGTTTCATACCAAAGAATAGGTATTTAGTCTTGCTAGTTTGAATGTATATCCATGGACCCCAGTGAAGCACAGACACTTCCAGGGTGTACTTATATACCTAAACCAGGTCACTTTTATATGTAGGTAGTGTTAGGTGAGAAAGATGTCGTTCACAGAAGCTGCTAGTACAGTATTTATAGCAGAGCAGTTCAGCTGTTCAGTTCAAGAACGATGTGCATGGTAGCTTCAGCTTGTGGATATCTTTCAAGCATTTGAGTAGTCCCACTGAAACAACAGTGATTCCCAAGTGCTTAATCACCAAAGTGTTTTGCTGAATTGAGGACTTTTTTTCTGAAGCTACTTCATCCAAATCAACAGCAGAAGGATGACGTGGCTTATAAATCTGCTCCTGTGGAGTTTATTAGTGCAGGGTAATGATTTTAGAAATTTGAGGGAGGGAGACAGCATGTCCCACGTGTACTTGTAGACCTTAGCTGGCAGCATATATATCTTCATGCATTTAGGGGACCCTCATAACTGACACAAATACATATTTATTCCATAGAAATAGAGAACAATGCCATAAACCAACTACCAAATGACAAGGCTTGTGATTTTTAAATCTGGCTGTTATTTGATAGGTTAGAGAGCTATGTGTTTGTCAATTGTAAATTGATCTCATGGTGTGTGCAAACAGCATTTTTGAAGGATTGCTTATTTTCAGGAAGTGACTGTAGAAGCCATATAAAGCAGGTCAGTTGTGTTATAGCACAGGTGTCTCATATCATTCTACCTGTTTCTTTTCTACACAAAGGAATCATATGTTGATCATCCCAACTCTATGCTTGCCATCAGTTGCGAGATCAGTGTTGGAAAAGGTTGGGCAATGCTTCAACAATAAAATGAAATTAGTTGAAATGTAATAAACCTTAAAGTAGTTGAATTCTACTATGACAGACATTAAGGTGTAAGAATATGGAATAGAATGTATGATACAGAAGTCCTGACAGTTTGGTAGTGTTTTTCTGTACTCCTGCCAGTGTTTGGTAATAAAGGAGCAAAAAGTTATTATCCAAAAAGTAATGTATTAGTATGCTGTAGATTTTGTTAAAAATTTCCTTTAACCTTGAGTTGTCTTATGGATATTCTGCTTAGGTTTGAAGATGACCATAAGCAAGTGGAATATAAAAAGTTTGTGGATGGGCTGAACTGGAGAAAGAATCAAATCTCTGCTTTCCAGATGGTAAAGGTTCCTCTCAAGGTAAAACCAGTGCATCTGTGCAAAGGAACAGTACAGTACATTGATATAATTTCTCCAACTTTAATGTAAGTGCTTTATCCAATGGAGACCGCAAGAGTTTTCATATTTGTGTATTTGTGCCTGTTTTCTTCACGTAATTAATTTTTTTCTGGGAGGTTTAGGATGAAGCAGAGAAGTCAAACAGGGACCAGGAGCCCTGTAACATCCCTACGGCTAATAGGTGTCACATCTCTGTGACATTTTTCTAGAAGAAAAAAAAGGAAAGGGGAAACAGATGTATTTGTCCATGAAGAATGGATGTGAATATCGCTTCACCCACAAATATCACTGTCACACGTCAAATGATCTGTTCACTTGCTGAGATAGTCAGGAAGTACTTTAAACTCCGCTGACAGTGCAGAAAATAGCTATGTATTTTTTATAACTCCACAGAAACTTGTACATAATACACCACATCACTGGTAGGTGTACAGCAAGAGCAGTATTGATGGATCAACTTTGTATATCTCCACCAGCCTGCTACTTAGGATAAATAAAAATGCGGTATCAACAAACTGTAGAGATTGATCTGATCTTCCATCTTGTGCCGCGTGGAACATTTAAAAATAGATGGTGCATAAGGCAATTATGCTCATTTTAAAAAACTTTGTAACAGATAAATCTGAAGCCCTTCTGCCAACACGTAGTTTTGCTGTTCTGGCCTAGCCGATGTGTTGCTATGCTTGTACAGAATGTGTTTGATTGTATTCAGACCGTTTAGAAACATAACATTCCTTTAAATTCAAGTTCAATGGTGACAGAGTTTAAACCAATATTCCTCGAGTTCTGTGCTATTAGCCTGACTCCTCTCTCTTACTTGGCTTACCGGCTCTTTCTTCTGTAGCATCTCAAACTGTCGGTGATGTCTAATGAGGGCCGAATGCTGCTGGTTTGCTCTGCTTTCCATGGTGGTTTATTTTTCACTTTATCATTGAGAAGAATTTTTCCATCTTGTACAGATAAAATCAAAGCCCTTCCATGTGTTTTATACAGCAGTCCTGTGGTTCAAAGTGTGCATTAGGTTTTGTTCAGTGGGTATTCTTTTGTTTTTACAGAAGAATTCTGTGCTTAAGTTATAACTCAATATTTAAACAGTGACTGCTCTCAGGAGATTGTGTCGGGATAAAAGGCCTCATGAGCCTCAGTACCACAGAAACAAAAAGAAGGTCAGAGCCTGTGCCTGGAGGATTTTTGTCTTGAAGATGGTGCTGTTAAGCTCTGTACCAAAAAGCAAGGGTGAAAGAAACAGAGGTACAGATACACTTGCTGTTGAATGGGTTTGAACGTGTTGTTTTTTTTTTTTTCCACTCGCAGAATGGCTTACCTAGCCATTGAGCATGATCTGATTTCTGGCAGGTGAGGGAAGGAGATGGCTCCTGTGGGGTGAAGGTGAGCTGCAAGTGGTGGTGGAACCAAGAGGCAGCCTTCACAAGTTGAAGGTGTGGAGGAAAAAGTGCTTGTGAAACAAGCAGGAGGTTGAAGTGGACATTTGTAGTGAAACGTGTTCTGGTCAGCATAAGAACTGAGGTTTTGGTTGAATATGAAGATGATGTTATCTTTGCTTGGAGGAAAGCCAGTGGATGGGCTTTCTGGGAGTGACTAATGCCCAAGAGCCCCAGTTGAGAATGGTATGTGGAGTTAGGGGAGGAAGGTTACAGCTGAAATCAAAAAGGAAGAAAGAGTATCAATAGAAAATATAATCAATCGTCATCATGCTGGGATAATCGGTTCCTCATCAGCTCCAAAGCCTTGCTGTAACTGTTATATAGTGCTGTTTTTAATGAACTGCACCCAAATTGGTGCCAGTATAGTTTACTGGGTTTTACTGACTTTATTATTTTGTTAGTTATCTGCAATACCTAGGCTATCTTTGGTACAGTACAGGAATATTTTAATGGAGAGATCAATATGAAATGGAAAAAATCAGAGAAAGGAAGGGATTTAAATCTTGTTCAACTTTAGAATCCAATTGGCATTCTGTTTGTGGCTTATCATGAATTAAAGCAATATTTTGGGGCTACAGTACCTGTATTTGACAGATAGATTTCAACAACAGAGTTGTTCTGGTTTAGCTGACTTTTTTCTTCTTTATCTCTATCTCATATTTTGTATGATTTTTGGTGTTGAGACATAGATGACTTGCAAGACTTTGAAGTATAAGTGTCTTTAGAAAATATAGCATTATTTAATTTGAAAATATCTGCAAAAGGGATAATGATAGAAAATATTTTTAATAAAATATTCTGCAAGATTGATTAAAATGTGCATATAGTAATCTTTTAAGAGTATATGCTATATAAAGGTCCACTTTTTTCACAGATTTGTATGTGGAGATGAAACAGCTCATTCAATCTTAGGTTGACCAGCTTTTAATTATTCTTGTTTTCAATATTATATTCTGAGATATTCTCTGGGTTACTAATTTCAGAATGAAGATGGCTGGAGCAGACAACCACCATCCCTTCCTGTGAAAAGGATCAACTACTTACTACTTCTGGATGATCTGTTTGGCAAAGAAGAGTAATCTGATCTGTGCAAGACACTGCTTTTGGATTAGTGTTTCGGCTCCAAAGCTTACTTAGATACTGAAAACATGCCTTGTAAAACAAAAAAATCAGATATAGGTTTTATTGTGTTTAATTTCTTATTCCAACATAGATGTATACTTTGTGTGGTTTTGTAACTCCTAAATCAACAGTACTCTTTCATACTTATACAAGCATAATTAAAACTCTATCCTCTAATCTTTCTATCTGATTATATGGGGAACTTACAAGTATTGAGAAGTCTTTGAGTCAAACAGAGCAAAACTTGACTGACCCTGCTTTGTTCTGCAAACAAGGGTCGTTGGATGACTTCTTAAAATATTAGGTCGGACTATATTAGCACAATAAGGTAATTCCATTCAAATTGCCTCTCTTGCTCTTTAGCTTATATCTGTGTGTTTGCTATATCCCTGTGGTGATGCTTAAGTACTATTTGTGTCAAAGTTTGTTATTTTATGGAGGAAATACTATCATGGTTTTAGCACAGTATAAAGTTGCTCTGGTATCAGAGATAATTATAGCCTTCCAATGTAGAAGTAAATATTTCGCAGGCACAGAAGCTATCAGTTCTTGCTTTTTGTTTTAAATCTGACTTGGATTAGTAGCCACCCAGGTTTACTTGGGTGAGCTGTGTATGAAGAGAAGGTGTTTCAGTACGATTTTAGTGTGCAGCTTTCTTGCAGTAGCACTGTACTTGGCTTTTGAAAATTAATTGATGCCTTTCTCTTTGCTCAAGATCACGACGACTAAATGGAGTTCCTGTTAGCATTTTTGTGTCTGTTTAAACTTATGCCAGCTCAACGCCATGATTAGATCTGAGTTTACTTCATGCTGTTGTGAGAGAAGTAATTACCCGAGTTTAAAGAATGGAAGAGCTGAGTTGAAGCGTGGAGCTGACTCATCCATGGCGATTCCACAGGGGAAGGGGAAGAGATGTGAGCCAGCGCACCTCTGCCAGTGGCTGAGAAAGTCACACATTCAGTAGACTGAGAACCTCGCGCTTTCTGTAATCCAAAATTGCGATTCAGGGAGCAAGTGTTTGATTTAGAAGGGTGAAAATTCAATGTATCTAAATCCCCAAACTGAGGGAAAGACGATAGTTCAAAGAATAACTTAATTCAGTAAATCTGTATCTTTTTGGAAACTTGGAGATCCCTTTTCAAATAACGATTCCATTTAGAAATACCTTGCTGCACTTTTGCATGATAGTGTAAATGAAATTTTTTATTGTATGTCTTCTCTCTAGGCCCCCCAGCTCCTGAGAAGAAATTCTCTTCTCTCCATATGGCAAAATATCAAGCTTTTGGCAGCTTTTTACCTTTTTTTTTGTCAGCAAAAAAAGGACTTGAGGCAAAGCATAATTATGTGTGCTGCTGCTACTTAGGAAGATGTTTGCAATAAAATGGGTAAGTGATGGTCTGTGTCCAGAGGGTCAAAAAGAAAACTGTAAAAACTTGTTAAATTGCTCCAAGTTGTAGACAAGACTATGCACTGCTTTTTGATCCAAAAGAGGAAAATGGTTTCTTACATGACAAGAAAAATGTCTGACCGTGGAGATAGTGTTAGGAGCCAAAACGATAGTAACTTGCGTTTGAAGCCATTCTGATGAAAGCTGAAATTTTTCAAAACATGCCCCCAAGACTGATCTTGATACTTGAAATGAATGCAGTTGCCCTTGTAAATTTTTAATGTTCCCCAGACTTCAGAAGGATATATTTCAGTTGTGGAAATCTTGTACAGCTGAGGGTTTCCGAGAAATGTTGACTCTGAACATTTAGAACTTCCCAAGTAGCTTTTAGAGATGGGAAGTTCACTTTAGTTTTATTTTCCTTTATAGGACAAAGAGGAGCCTCTTTTCAGCAAAAAAACCCAATTAGTACAAGAAATATAATTTCTTATCATTTCATGTGGAACCCTGTGTATAGGTCTGGTCAATCATGGTCTGGTCATGGCCAAGAAAGGTGACTGCAAACTGGAACTAGTGCAAAGGAGAACTAGAAAAGTGACCAAGAGAATGGAGATAAGAAAGGAGATTAAAGGACCTTGGTTTATTTAGTGAAATAAAATGAAGTCTCAGAGAGAATATAACTGCTCTCTGTAAATACATTATGGCGAGGCGAGGAAAATAATCTATTTCAGTTAAGAACATTGGTAGTCTAAGAACAAATGGGTATAATTTGCCACGAATAAATTTAAATTGGACAAAAGGTGGTTTCTCACTTCTAAAACAATGAGGGTCTCAACAGCCTTCCAAGACTAAAGTACTCAGTTTTAAGGTTGAGATGGGTCATCTGATGACAGTAATTTTAGGAAGTTTATTAATACCCTTCTGAATTATTATTGTCACTTCTGTTTCTCCTCTTTTCCCAAGCACCTTGCATAACCCTGATGAGCACAAAAGGATCTCATACAGGCAGGGTAGACAGGGCCTGAAAAATATTTTCAGTGCTTGTCACTGTGCTTACAATGTGTCATATGCTGTGGTCTGATGTGTTATAAACACTTTTCACCAGGTTTTGTTTTTTACAAGCAGCAGTGCTTCCAGAAGGGAAAGCCCTAGCCAATGAGCAGTCCAATAATACTCTTTGTATAATGTGACTTACAGCATATGCTGCCCAGAATATTTCAACCTCTCCTCTAATCCTGCCACCAGCTTCTTCTCTCTTTTCACATTGCTGATGAGGGGCCTGAATGAAGACAATACCACAAGATTATGTTTCAAGATGGCAGGAGGCCACAGCTTTAAAGCACGCATGGCATAAAGGGGAAGGCAGCCCTCACAGTTGCCATTAATCTCAGCTCTCGATCTCTGCAGGGGAGCCAAAGATATCTTCTTTCCACAAGTATCTGTGCTGTCCATGGCAGGAGTGAAGAGATTCACATTACAGTACCGGCTCCCCATCTCGCTGCTGGGGTCCGCTGCGTGTTCAGTGTTAATTTTTATTTCCTCAGCTTGGCATTTGAGAATAAGAGGCTTCAAGTTCCCTGGAATAGCTGCTGCTGCAGGCAAATGGTAGGCTGCAAACAGCAAAGAGGACCAGTCCTCGTGTGCAGGTGTGCTGGTTAGCTCATGGCCTCACATCAGCTTCTGCTCCTGTCCCGTTCGGAGTGCCCGCTCTGGTCAGTGGCAGATGGGCCCTTTCAAACATGGGAGCCACAAGCAGCCATAGAAAATCTGTGGGCAAAAATGAAGTTCCTCACCAGGCAATACCTTCCTGTCTCCTGCCCATCATACAGGCATCTACTGTGGTTTTCTAGACAGAGGCGTATGTACCAACATCAGGCAGATATTTGTCTACATAAATGAAAAGATGCTGAAGTCCTCCTCCTGCATTTGTCCCTCGTGCTGATGTGAGTTGATCTTACTTCGTGGCAGGAAAGCTTTTCACAGAAAAAGCTTGGGCTCAGTTCACTCCTATGTCTGCTCTCTCTGTCTTGTCCTTTTAGCCCAGGAGACATTTCTGCTTCCCAAAGGTGAACTTTCTGTGGGGAAACTGGAGAGATCCCAATTCCACAATAACCAAAATATTGGATGTTTTCAGTCACTTGACAGCATTCGGAGACCCACAGTCCATATATCATTAATAGTAAGTCACTGGTCTCTTGCTTGCTGGACCCTTCTATGTATTCCTGTGGTTAGAGACATGGAACTAATCATTAGAAGAATTATCCAGTTCTTAACATCGTGTAGTCATACACAGGTTATTCAGTGACATGGAGGGAAACATTAGTTCTTCAAGCAATGATGTCCTGTACCCTCAGTAACTTACCCGTTGCATATTTACTTGCAGCATTTCTTCCTCTTCGAGGTGGCTTAGCCAGCAAGCCCCAGTACAATGAGAAAGACAAAACAGCAGCATGTTTGTGAAGAGGTTACAGTATCAGGAGGAAAAAATACCACAATCTGAGCTCAGTCAGAGTTTAAAAATTATTTTTAGGTTTTAGAGGGCAGTATAGATAACATTTGAGAGAAAACTATCTTGAAAGAAGATTTTATTTATTTTTTTTAAGTTACTGTTTGCTCTGAATTAATTTCTTCTTGTTGTTTGTTTCGGGTGGTGATTCAGACCCAGTCAGAAGCAGCACTCATGTTTTAAGCAATGGTCAAACAAACCAGATAGAGGTGTGGTGGGAAGTCCATGTCCCTACCAGTTTCGGATGTAAAGTTTAAAACCAATGAGGGAGCATAACCAAGACGAGGAAGGAAGTTAATATAGATATAATATATTAAGGTTATAGATTGATTATATAAACTCTTTCTCTGCACAGTTGGTCATTTCTGAATCATCTGGAAGTTTCTTCTGGTATGTATTACAAAAAAATAAACTAGCTATCCTCATCTGCCCTTCACCCTAGTCATCTCTCCTCTTTGCTCTCCTCTTTTGTCAGGCTAGTTTCATATTAAGAACTATGCACAAAGAGCAGTAAAGGAGTGGATTCACAAACATCTCTAATCTGATGCAGATCCCTGGCAAGCAGCATGGTGGGATGATGTGTAACAACAAAAATTCATTGTATCACCTAACAGTACTTGAGAGAGCTCCCACTTACAAAGGCAAATCTGTCAGAAGAACGGCATTGTCTTGAAAGACAAGAGGAAGACCTTTTGCAGAGCTGCTGTGGCGCAGGTGGGATGCAGCCTCCTCTAAATTAGCATGAGGTTTATGGGTGAGACTTCTGTCCCTTGCCTTCAGGTGTCTACAGTGCAGATGTCTGCACCTGCGCTAGCTCTCTGGATCCCTTCCTTGCTGATGGAAGGGCGATGAGCACTTCTAGGGAGTGACTAGCCTCCAGGAATATCTACAGGAGGCTTGTTACCTGTATGCTGCCCGTCCCTCTGCACTGACTGTGAAAGAATTTAAAACAACCAGCTAAATGTAGATGTTGGCGTTGCTGTCAGGTGAGATGAAGCCCACGCTTGGGGTCCATCAGCAATGCTAGAGGAGCACTGAGGTCAAGCATGGTGACCACTTGGCTG